CGTGACTACCAAGAAAGCCCTCTGCCTGGTTCCCTGTAACTTGGCTTCTCGCAGTGAAGGAACCGCCAGAAGGCCCTCGGCGCTGGATTTCAGTGTCCGGGTTGAACAATGGGGGTGGAGATGCTCCTTCAGGTATACTGGGCCGAGGCCATTTAGGGCTTTAAAGGTCAGCACCAACACTTTGAATTGTGCTCGGAAACGTACTGGGAGCCAATGTAGGTCTCGGTGGCCGCTCCCAGTCACCAGCCTAGCTGTCGCATTCTGGATTAGTTGTAGTTTACAGGTCACCTTCAAAGGTAGCCCCACATAGAGCACATTGCAGTAGTCCAAGCGGGAGATAACCACAGCATGCAGCATTCTGGCAAGACAGTCTGCAGACAGGTAGGGTCTCAGCCTGCATACCAGATGGAGCTGGTAGACAGCTGCTCTGGACATGGAATTGACCTGCGCCTCCAGGGACAGCTGTGAGTCCAAAAGTCCAAAAGAGTTCAGATTCCAAGGCAACTGCACATCCAGTCTACACATTAGACTGGATCAGGTGAGTCTGATTTGAAATTCAAACTTCATGCATTCTTCCCACATCCCTAGTTTCAATGTTTTCAAACAAAAGGAAATACCATCAACTCTTATTTGTAGAGAGATTATTACATGTAAAAAAAAACCGTGCTGTTTTTGTTGTAATTGCCCCACACACCATTTTAATTTCATTAATGTATGATTTTTTTTATGGGTTTTTTTTAACCTATGTTCTTATTTTATCTGTAAGTCGCATTGTGTCCCTGTAAGAGAAAAAGGTGGGGTATGTATAAATAAATAAATAAATAATAGCAACAACAACAACAAAGTGTTAACTTTTTGTCTATATCTGGCCAGACAATAGATGTAGCGGAGCAAATAAAGCTATAAGACTACTATCTAGTGGTAAGAAATAGGTATGACAGAATCTACATATAGAATCCCAATATCTCTTTTCTGGAAATGGAAAACAGGCATTGGGATTAGCATAACTTTAGTGCAGCAGTTCTGGATATGAATTAATGTGACAAAGAAACTGAGCAATGTTTCAGTGAAAGATTTAAAAATAAAATAAAATAAAATAAAACCTTTTGTATTTAATGTCATGCAAATTAAATCAAATATATAATTTGGCTAATGATAGCTGCTGCAGTATTTGAGGTCTTAAGCAGAACTCATTCTAAATTTCTGGTCATGTACATTGATTAAGTAGTTCTGGAAAGTTCTTGATGCAATCAGCGAAAGAATATGTTATTGGCTGTGATCCTGAAACTTTCCTTTTGGGTTCTTAAATGGATTATGTTGCTAAAGAGGTTCTTAAGACGACCGTACATACTCGTCGTGAATGCAATTCTCTGAGAACCAGTTCTTATCTAGACAAAAAGGCACCATCCATATATCAGCAGGCTTGGGAGAAGCCCAAGGTGGTCAGAAGTAGAAAATAACTTTAGAGCAAAAGAAACACTGGAGTGGGGGGCAGCCCAATAAAGACTGTGGGAATTATGGGTACAGAATTCTAGCTGACTTTCAGAAGCAAAATGGAAAGCCAGGAGGGAAGGTTGATGGAACAGGTTATCTGAGCAGGGTCATTCCATATTGCAACACAAAATGGTGCAAGGCTTCCCCCTTGCCCCCGCCCACATTCTGTGCTCTGTAGAGGTTTAAGGGAATGTTTACCAAGTCTTTTTGTGGGTGCCATAAGACCTGGTTGGATGTATTGGCACCTGCAGGCACCGTTTTGGAGACCCATGCCTTAAATAGTGGTGGTTAAAGTGGGAATAATAGCAGAGGTCTACCTGGTTGCCTACTCAATGAGTAAATTAGTTCTATAGGAGGACAGCTTATTACATGATAACACTGTTCTGGGACTGTAGTATCTCAGGCAGTGTCAGGTTTCAGGGAATCCGATCCCCCTCCCGCACGGCTGGCAGCCAGAAATGGGAATACAAGACATTCTTACCATGGTATTTTATTCAATATTCACAGAGACAGACAGATGATGCCGCCTCTTAGATAATGGCGTTGCTCCGAGTAAAGTCCCACCCCCTCTGTCTCTCCTATTCTACGTCATCCCTGCGTCGGCTAATCTGAGCTTTCTGCCTCTGAGCTTTCTTTTCTACTACTCTCGATGCACGCCAGGTCCTGGGAAAGCGGGGGTCAGGAATGCTTTCCAAAGGCACTGAGTCTGTCAGCTGTCTCTCCCCTGGTGCTTCTTCTTCCTGCTGTTCCTCTCCCAATATTTCCCAGCTTCTCCCCTCTGCAGCCTCTGAACTATGGCCTTCTGCAAACCACTGTTCTAAATCTATACTTGCCCTCCTGTTTTCGTGAAGGTTCAGAAGGAGGGGGGCGGTCTCCATAATTCCTCCTCAGTCCAGCCCTTGACAGACAGCGAGCAAAGAATGGTATCTATTGAATGCCCTCCCATATATCTCTATATAATAGCTCCCTCAGCATCCAATCATTCCAGTCTTCCACCTGCATAGCAAACCTGTTTAGGGCAACAGCTGTTCTTAGCTAGAGCCGAAGCGTCTACTGACCAGCTGTGTGTTTGCTCTGGACAAGCTAGATTTATTTAAGGAGTTTGCCAAAACCCAAAGGGGAGGGAAAAAATCAATAATGCAGATATCCATCAAAGACAGGAACACAAATATTTCCCATCTCTGCCATTATTTCCGCTTTAAAAACAAATTTGCCCTTCTTTGCTGGGCTTGTCCAGCAAAAACTCAATCTGCTGGCTTCACCCTCAGGCTCTTGCTAAGACAAATGCACATCTATCATGTCTGTAAGGAAAGGCACTCACATGTGTCAAAGGCAACTCTTCTCTTTTTAAAAAAGTATTTACAGAATCGGCAAAGTGAAAGAAGAGGAAGAGGAAGAGGATGAAGAAGAAGAAGAAGAAGAAGAAGAAGAAGAAGAAGAAGAGGAGGAGGAGGAGGAGGAGGAGGAGGAGTTTGGATTTGATATCCTGCTTTATCATTACCTGAAGGAATCTCAAAGCGGCTAACAATCTCCTTTCCCTTCCTCCCCCACAACAAACACTCTGCGAGGTGAGTGAGGCTGAGAGACTTCAGAGAAGTGTGACTAGCCCAAGGTCACCCAGCAGCTGCATGTGGAGGAGCGGAGATGCGAACCCAGTTCACCAGATTATGAGTCTGCCGTTCCGAACCACTACACCACACTGGTTCTGAATTGGGCTCCGCTTTCTACTCTATTCACGAATAAAGCTGTGCTTGAAATGCAGGTGTGCCCTTCATGACTGGCATAGTGCTTCTTTCATATTTGAGAGCCAAAGCAACAGCAGATTGAAGTCTGTTATATGGTAAATATTATACAAAATTAAGGGCTCAGTCTCATTGTCTTCAACATTGTTCTTAGCCCCATTATCCCTAAATGCTTGACTGTGGTTGCATTACAATTTGCTCTTACTCTGTTTCTAAAGCACGTTTTCTTTATGTTGCTGCTGTTGTGATAAAAGGTTAGAAATGAATTTTCGAGAAAAGAAGCCTCACATTAGCTTTTCTCAGATATAGCATAAACTATTTTGTTCGTTTTACCACCTTTCGGTATCCCCTTGTACACTGTATCCTTAGCATCCTTTTTTTCCTTATGAAATGAAAAACATGTGAGTCCTTTATTTCCTGAAGTTCATACAAAATTTTCTGTAAGCTTTACCTTTACATAGCCCATTGGGGCACGTGGAATTTTTCAAATTTCAGATTCCAAATTAAGGGGTGCTAAAAAGTTGTCACATTACTTGGGAATTCAAAATATATTTTGGTTCAGTTAATATAATTTAGTTTTTCTTGGTAAGTAAAATGTGTGTAAAATTACATGGAAACCGTTAAAAAATGATTGCCAAGTACTTGCAGTTATATGATATATTAATATTATTTTTATTATTTATTTGTAATGTTATTGGAGCATTACCTTTTTCAGAGGGTGAAATTAAAATTCTTTTTTTAAAAAAATATTTAATCATTTTTTCAATGCAAACAACAATCACAAAAACACACACACAACAAAAACCACAATAACACTAATAACACAATTTAACAATTCAGATTTGAGTACTGATATACCTATGACTACACCTTTTTAACAATATTTCCCCACCTCTCCTCCCCCTACTTCCCACCACTGCCCGCCTTATCGCTTAAATATTCCTTCCAGATTTCTTCATATTTATCCATTCTTAATTTGTGTTGACATGCAATTCATTTGTATGTAGCTAATCTGTCCATATTTTCAATCCATGTGCTCAATGGAATCTTTTTGCGGCTCTTCCAGTTCATCAAAACAAGTTTTTTTGCTTCTAATATGGCACAGTAAAATTAAAATTCTTTGGTTTTCTGAAAAGCAGTTTATGTGCTTCTTCATCAAACATAGACTTACTAAGCTATTTTTTCCCCAACCACAAAAATAATAGCAGATTTGAATTCCTCACATCCATAAAAACATATTAGTAAAACCCGTCACAGAAGAAATTTGCAAAAAAATATGTTTCACCTGCTAAAATGGCAAGCCTTAATAGCCGATGATGAAAGTTAGTACACACTTTACATGACAGAGGCATGAGGGTGAAGGTCACTGTCTTCCGTTTCCGCTGGCCTGTACCCTCACATCCTCTCCACCAGTGAGTCAGAGGGGTATTGGCTGGTGGTACTCCTCCCCCAAAACACCCTGCCTAGAACTGTGACTGCCCCACGTAACAAGGAAGGCTGGGAGGTAAGTCAGGCTTGAGACTCAGATGTGGAGTAGGATCTGCCACATGAGCAGAGCAATGGCCAGTAGTGGACAGTGTAGCGGTGCGGAGGAACTTACCCGATCTTCTAGCAGGGGAGTTACCAGATGTCCCCAGTTCCCGGGGACAGTCCCCAGATTTGCAAATCTGTCCGCGGACAAATTCCATCCCCAGAATGTCCCCAGATTTGCAAATATGTCTCTGGGAAACGTGGCAGTGGCAGCCTCAGCAGCCTGGAGCCCGCCTGGTAGTGCAGTTGGCTCTGGCTGGCTTCAGGAGCTGCTTGCTGCCGTGGCACCAGCCATTATTCCTGCACCACGGCAGCAAGCAGCTCCTGAAGCCAGCCAGAGCCAACTGCACTACCAGGCTGGCCTCTCCTGGGCAATGGCTGCCCACCTGTGACTCCCGTGACTCCCTTGATCTGTCAAAACAAAGGGGGGAGGAGATTGGGGAAGGCTCAGGAGTCACGGGCAGACGGCACACTGTTGCCCAGTTTTTAAAAAATCTCTGCGCATTTATGTTTCACAGGGGGCAAAAGAAGTGCTTTACACCTTTATACAATATGCATGTGTGCTTGGGCCCAGGGTCTTTTGCCTCACCATCCCCACTACTGATTCCCTGTTGCTATCTAGCTTAAAAAAAAAAAAAAAAAGTGTCCCCGGATTCATTGAAGAAAACCTGGTAACCATAAGTTACTGCCACTTACTGGGAGGGAAGGGGTAGAGATGAGGCTGACATGGTGCAAACACAATGGCAGGGCCATTTCTGCACTCCAGCTGGTGTGCTTGCACTGTGACACCACCCAAACCTAACTTTCTCCATCCACCCACCCATCAGGCAACAGTGACTCACCTGCGGGGATGTCAGGTAAGCCCCTCTGCTCCATCTTGCCACCTGACGCTAAGGACAGCGTCACTGCACTGTATTACTTGAGGCCTAACCAGTGCTCCTGCTGGTGTGTACCCACCACCTCCTTACCTTGCGCCTGCCTGGGAAGCAGCAGTGATGCTGCTGTTGGGAGGTTGGCTCTACGATGCTGTCCCAAGGTGACAGCAACTTCTGCTTGCAGGATACCTGGGAAGTGGTCCAGTGCATCTTCCCCTGCTGTTTGCTTTACTAACGCTGAAAAAGCATCCTCAGTAGGATTAGGTCAGGATTATGTTCTCTGATACTTGTGTGCACTGTGTGTATTGATAAAACACAGCTGAAGGGGAAAAGAAAAAGCAAATTTGATGTAATTGTTTTTGTGTGATTGCTTTTGTGATGTTTTATCAATGCACAGTGCACGTCTGTGAAACACTGCACAGAAAAGGATCTTGGTACAATTGTGCATAGAATCACACTATGACTGGGTTTCTGTGTGTAGTGTGTTTTCTGTCCACACGTACACAGTGTCAAAACAGTGGAGAAAGACACTGCTGAATGGAAAGAACACTCATTCTGATACCTTAGTCTTTAAGGGAAAGATCACATCGCTTGTGTTTCATGCTCTCCTTTGCAAGGGGAGACATGCCAAGAAGATATTTGAACTTGAAATCCAAAACTCTGCCCTGAATGTGTGTACCAGCATTCAATGCTTTCAATCAAAACGAATGCCAAAGAGTGAAAGCAAAAGGCTGAACTTCACTCAGCCAGTAAGGTGAGATTTAAAGATGAAAAGCCTGAAGCTACAAAACAGAACTTGATTGCTGGAGCAATAAATGTCTCATGAATATGATAACTAACCAAATGGGAGACAATTACTTTTATTACTCTTACATTCCATAATCTATACAACTTTTAATTTACATGTATCCCCCCCTCGCACTTTCTCTGCCATCATTACCATAATTTTAATGGTATCACATAAACATTAAGATTTCAATTGCTTGACAAAATGGTCAGCTGTGCAAACAAAGTCCCTCTTCGGTGACTGGTATTTTTATTTTTTTTAAAAAAAGAAAAAGAAATGAAAGAGCAGTACAATTGGTATTCATAGCTTTTGATGTTCAGTTTCATACAAACAAACGCCCCCTTTGCACTTTATAACCACTAAAATCCAATGGAAGCCGTCCATACTTCATGGGCATACCAGCAGGGTTGCATCAATTAAGAGGCGGAGAGAGAAAGAGAGGAAGAGAGAGAAAAGAGATCAAAGCATGGCTATTGAACGAACTCTTGGCTCTGGATTCTATTTGTTGGCACAGCATCTGGGCACGAAGGCATCCCCACTCTCCTCCGTAATTCCGCTTCTCTTTGCTCTCATCTGTCTTCCCAGCACCGTCCGTCTGGCTGGAAATGTGAGCAGTAGGAGATGTGGGATATTGCAGAACGAGCTAATCACCTTCAGTGCGGTGATCGGTGCCCATAAAGGACAATCTGAACGGCATGCAGCTATTTAAATGTTTCCTCACTTCCCGCCTCCCGAAGAATGTGGCACACAGGCTGCGTTTGAAAAACATGTGGCTGCCCTATTGCTGGGGGAGGAAAACTGGAAATGTTTTTTTGTTGATGTTTCTGTGTGACTGTTGATTGATTTAGTTAGCATGATCGTGCCCTTTCTTCTGCTCTAATAATAGTAGCTTGTAAAGAAGGTATCACTATGTGACTGTAACAGCAGCACAATGATTTCAGCTTGCAATGTGACTCCCCTGCCCCCCTGCTCTGTTCTGGGTTTCCTCCGGACCAGATCTAGGGAGACCACGGAGCACATGGTAGAGGGGGAGAGGTGGGAAAGCCCTGTTGTGGAAGCCGAAAGCCTTGTGTTGATCAGATAGCTACTTAGCACTCCAGCAAATGCAAGCCAATCTATCTATCTGAGATAGATAGAAAATTATTGCTAGACAGAAAGGAAATGATCACTCACATAAACACAACACTATATATTCATTTAGCTATAAAACATACACGCAGATGATGTTAGTGGCGATGATAATGATGATTATGGCAGAAAGACAACAGAAAAAAAAAACATCATGGTAGCTTTATCAGTAACCTGCAACAACTCTTTTTGAAATATCCCCAAAGACCTCCAGAAGAGCTAGGTTTTCACTAGGTGGTGGAAAGCAACAGTGATGCCATCAAGTGAACCTCCCTTCGGAGGTCCAAGGTGCCACTACTGAAAAGATCCTGTCTTGTATATTCACCTGCTGAAGTTCAAGAGAAGGGAGGACATCATACAAGATCCATGATGTTGATGAAATACTAGACTAGGTAAATTTGTATGTATTTATTTGCTCCATTTATATACTACCTGACTGCCAAGGCGCCCAAGGCAGTTAATAGATTAAAAGTATGGAAGAAGACAGTTCTTAAGATAACTCAGAACCAAGCCAATTGACAATTTATAGGTGAAAAGTCACCATTTTGGACTAGCAACCAATGAAGGTGCTAGAATACCAGAGTGACATGCTCCACAGGGGAGCTCTAGTTTATATGCTGGCAGTTGCTCATTGAACCAGCTTTAGTTTCTGAACGCTCTTTAGAAACAGTATTGTGTGGAATACAGTGCAATAGTCCAATGTGGACAATGCTAAAGAATGGGTGGCAGTGGCCAGGAAATGACATAGATAGAATTCCAGCCTAAATTGATGGAGAGTTATCCTGGTCTACCACTGCCTCCTTGCCACTGAGAAGCAGCATCAGATCCAGAAACACTTCCAAGCTCAGTCTGCCCAAGATATTTTGCTACCAGAGGCAAGGGGCCACATTTCCACATAAACATGCTGCCTGCACTAGCATGTAAATCTTTCTTCAATGCTCGTGAAAGGACATGGTCCTCCACCATGTTGTTGTTTAGTCGTGTCCGACTCTTCGTGACCCCATGGACCAGAGCACGCCAGGCACTCCTGTCTTCGTCCTCCACCATACTCAAGTGCAATAAGCTAGCATCGAGGAGGCAGGGCACACAGTTCTTTCTGTGCTCTGCTCCTCAGCATTTGCCACCTGAGGCAGCTACCTCACTTTGCCTCATGATAGGGATGTCCCCTACTTAAGAGGAGTACAACCCAGCAAAAGAAGCTGCACCCTCACCCCCAGATTAGCGGCCACACACCCTGCAAAAAGCAGTACCTACATTTGATCTGGATTAGGTTTCTTTGGGCTTGCTTATGGTTGGGGAACAACCTGGATGTCTTCCTAAAATATATATATTGTGGCAGGGCGAGCAAAGATGGTACCTTGCAGATGACAACTCCTTTTGTCCCCAACCATTGACCATGTTGACAGGGGCTGATGGGAGTTATAGTTCAAGAGTATCTGAAGGTTGGCTACCCTTGGGTTACAGCATCTCATGTGAAGAGATGGAAGTGCTCTGGACAGCAAGGTGTCAGAGATTATTATTATTATTATTATTTTAAAGGAAAGTTGCCAGAGCCAGTCTCAGGCCAAGTCTAGGGTCCAGTTGCTGGAGTTGAGGGCTTGAGCTGGACCTCCCTAGGCTAGGTCTCAGCCTCAGACCTTGAGATCCCTAGTTCAAGCCAAATCTCCAGCATCCATGGCATAGCAGGGCAACGCTGGACTTGAAAGGCATAGTTTTTTAGTCTGGTTTGAACTACTGAATCATTTCAAAGTACAAAATTCTTCCTGGAGACCCCACAGAGAGAGAGTCCTTATTGGAATCAAACTCTGGACTGAGTGCAAGAGATCTGGGGAGAGTCAGCCCCATGATCAGAAGCTAGAAGTAGGTCAGCACCCACCTGGGGAGGACCACCTCCTGAGTGTTAGTAACATGTAGGCCAGTAATTATCGCCGAAGATTCAGTACGTTCAAAGTGAAGGAAGCTAGAATAAAAATAAGAAAGGAGGAACCAACAAAAGAAGTCTATGAAGCTAAGAGTCTCTCTTGAACTGCCGCCCCAAACATAATTTCTTTGAAATTAATGGCATTGAAATCAATGACATTTACCTCTAAGTAAACATGGATGGGAATCACACTAATGCTATCCTATTCTTATCTATCTTACTATGCAGATTCAAAACAGAAATGTCTTTAATAGGGAAATCTTGTGGAAGAAATAAAGAGAGGGTTTCTGTAAAATGCCCCTCTTAAATATGTCACTCCATTCCTGGGTGGTGTATTCCAGGGAGGGTATTTTACTGGTTTGTGAATGTTGCCATGAGCAGTGGCAGCAGCACACAACTCACCCTCTCCCTCTTCACTATTTTTTTCACCACTGTGAAGGAAGCAACAGCTGCACTTCATAATAATAATAATAATAATAATTTATTACGGCCGTAGGCCCATACAGATAAAAACAAGACATAAATAACAGCCTGTGCACATGGGAAAAAAACAGCCGCTAAAACAATACTATAACAATAAGCTACTATAAGATGGAATGGCATACTACGCCTTAATTAGCTTGTGGTGCTCCTTGGCGACGCTT